AGGGTGTGTGACATGTTTGAAATATATGTAGTAAGTTATATGTTGTAATTTTGTACGTTTTAGGGGTGCTGGGATACAGTTAAGAGGTGCTGAAGCACCACTAAAGATGGGCACAACCGAGGTACAAATAATGTGCAAGATCAATTAGCGGATTGGTCCTGCCTCCGCGGTGATGTGGGCACTTTACAGGACTGTCATGGTGGAGTGAGCTGTGTCGGAAGGTGCAGCCTTTGATTTACCAGTCAGTCTAGGTTCCTACCCTCACCTACTTTCGCAACCTTTGGATAGTTGGTTTGAGCCACTCTCTTGCCTGCTCTCCATCCAGATGCGCACACAGACAGCTAGGGAACAGGGCGTTGTCATGGCTGTGCACATTTTGGATGTGGTTGGCAACTGAAGTCCACTTTGCTACTGCCTCCTGTCCTGAGGAGGAACTGGATGCCGACCAGTAGAGGTGGTTCACCACACTTTGCTTCCACAGTCTCACATCCTGGATCGCCTTTCTCTTCCCCAGCTCTTCCATTTTCTTACCAATTCATGGAGAGCCAAATAGACCCCCATTTAAAATAGAAAAAAAAAATCCAGTAATATTCACTATATACATCCCCAAAGATTACCTTTTCCCATGTGCCAGGGGTCAAAGTAGTGACTGATTTCCTTTTTATCCTCCCGCAAATACTTCTGCACCCATGTGTGGCGGTCAGTCACAACTTGCTGCACATCGACCCCCCTCTCCAAAAGCGTACTCAGTCTTCGCACGAATCCCTCCTTCTCCATTCGCACACTATTTCCAACTTCATTGCTCTGAAAATAAACATAATTCTCCATTGATCTGTGAATAATTAACCATGAAATGTATTGGAATCATCAGGTAATGTTGTACCTGTACAAGTTGGATATCAATAACTTTGTTTCTTTTGAGATCCATCATAGTGTAGCGCAGGGCTGTTGCTAGCTATTTTGGTGCCCTAAGCACAAAGGCTTCGTGGTGCCCCCCCCCCCCCCACACACACACACACACATACAGAAAAAACAACACAATAACACAGTATGTGCAAGCGCTTCGCCTTAAATTTTCTTTAATTCTCTTGTATGCTCAAACTGCTTATTATTTTCCAAAAAGTAGGATTGATATTTAGTGTGTGTGTGTGTGTGTGTGTGTGTGGGTGGGTGGGTGGGTGGGGGGGGGGGGGGGGTCATTTTGCCTTGGCCCCCAAAATGTCTTGAAACGGCCCTGGGTGTGTGACTGAGTGTTGAAGGTGATCTGAATCGTATCAGATGTATAAATATTACATGTGTGTAACTTATTGTTTTATACTGGTAAAAACGTGTAGTGGAGATAAATCTACCTACATTTTACTTTTCAACACTTTGTTTTGTTTTCTTGTTTTTATTGAACTATTTTCCTGTCCTGTCTCTCATCTTCCTGCATCTCCTCTAAACTCTCCAGAAAAACTGCTGCCTGGATTCTTATTTTTTCACCTCATCAGTTACTTCTGAGCAGATCAAAGGGATCTCCTGACCGCAAAGCGGAGAGCGCGTTTCGATGCTGCGTCAGTGAGGTGAAATCACCGCAGTGCAGGTGATGAGCTCCGCAGTAGCAGAGCGCTTCAGGCACAAATAAGACAGAAAGTAGAGAACATGTGCGGACATGAACGATCGTGTGCTAATTATAGTTTTTTGGTTGCGCCACTTTGAGAAGGGACCGTGCGCTGGACGCAGCTGCCTGGATCGCTGCGCAATAACGCGCTGTGCCGCTCTCTGTGCTCTCTGCACAAAAGAGTCCATAAATGATGTAATATAGGTAGAAAACTTTTTTCCGGCTCCCCTGGATTTGTAGAATATACAACTCCCCCATAATTCGATCCCTGCTCCTGGATGAAAAGCCGGACATTTTCATCAATAAGAACCCCCAGTCCGGACGTCCCGGACAGAGAGTGAAAAGTGGACACGGTCCATCTCCTTTCCTTTTTGTATTGTTTTCTCTCTGTAAACATGCTGTTAACTTGCTTTGCACATCTTCTACTTGAAATCTGTCTTTATCATAAATATATATATATATATATTATTTCATAAGCTTGCGTTTGGTGCCCCTTCCCCGGCATGGTGCCCTACGCGCTGTGCGTGGTGTGCGTGTGCGAAGCGCCGGCGCTGGTGTAGCGGCCATATTTGGCTGAGTGTCCTTCAGAAATGCAAGTCATTACTTAATATACATTTGATAGCAAAGGAATAAAATAAATACATTTAAACGTATTCACCAGGTGAATCAGCTCGCATGTCACCACCAAGAGTAGTGTTGTGTTGAAAAAATCGATTCTCCGATTCTGAATCGATTCTCATATAAATTCATGAAGACCGATTCATTCGTCCAAAGATCGATTTAACCATTTAACAGTGTCTGGCTCTTGTACAGCTAAAATATAAGAGAAGTTCAGAGGCTTGGGTGATGATAAAGGGTTAATATGGTGCAGCGACCTTCTCCCGCCCACCGTCATGTGACTGAATTCACGCATGCGTGCTAGGTGAGAAGATATTGGCCGGGAAGCTCCTCTGAAAAATAGGACAGTACGACGAATCAGTCAAACACTGTTTCTACTCAGAGTTTGTGTAGCTCACATTGTATGTCTGTGCAAAGCTTCTCTTAAGAGAAATACCCTTAAGGTAGAAATGATTGACATTTATTAACTCATTCCAAATAGGTGCTTACATTTTTATATAATAGAATGATGTCTTTATTTTCAAACAAAAACATGGCTCTAAAATATTTTTTTTCTGTAATATAACATCATGTCTTCATTGTCAAAGAGATTGTCTTGTACTGTATCACCAACTTTAGGCCAAATGACTTTTTGAATAATATTTTAACAACATTCAATAGCATTTTGATTCAACCAGAAAGCTTTTTGTAGATAAACCACGTGTCACACAGCATATTAAACATTAGGCATTTAAGCTCACTCCAGTTACGGTTTGAGAATTTACTCAGGAATTGAAACAAGGATACAACTAAACGTAACTTAACTATTGGAAGAGAATTCTTACCTTGAATTTAAAAAATGGTTGGCAGTAGTCGTCTTTTTCAATCAACTATGATGATTGGTCGCTCTTCTCCAATCAGTGCAGGAAGAAAATGATTCCTCGGGCTGGGCACATCAGGGCAGGTACACAGGGTCACTTACCCAATTCAGCAGGGCCAACTCTTTTAACTGGAGTTTATCGACATCAGCCAAAATTAAATAAGCAAATCTAAGAATATTCAGATGTTTAACACCTGGAACACTGAAATAAAGGTCATGAACTCAAATCTGCAGAGTTAGTAATTAAGTTTGTCACTTTTCAGTGAGATGAACTTCGTAGAAGTCAGTTACTGCTACATGTTCAAGGAAATAAGTTATTTGAACTCACTTTAAGCTGTTAGGTTTTACAGTGTGAGAAAGGCCAACACGACCCAGGCAGGGAACTACACTGCATCAAATGTAATCAACAGTGGAGTGGATCACGTGCGCCAAACCCCAGATGCTGAACAGCCACCAATGCCTCCCTACACAAGGTGTCAAACACTTCATATTCAGAAACGTTTGGCATGCCGTACACCACTCCCTTAACCAAAGCACAAGAATGCGACTCAGAAATAGTTACCCCCACCCCCATAAACGTTTCAAATCTCAGCGCCTTCAGGCACTGGGCCCTCATCTGTCAAACCATTGTCAAAAGTCCAGGAAACACAACTTTAGCATCTAGCACATCCACCTTCATCGTACATAGCTCCCTGGTCACCATGAATGGGTTGGAGGTTGCAAAACGTGCACCAGCCACCGCCTTGATGCGGACCGAAAAGCTGCCCTCTACAAGCCTCTGCTGCTTCACCTTCGCATCCCAGTCAATGTCCGAGGCGCCATTGCTACCCCACAGTCCATCTTACCATCCAAATGATTTGCCTCACCGGTCTTTCCAGCTCCTTTGGAATGGGGAATTCACCACCACAAACAAGGCTGACAGAGCGAAGTTGGGCGGCCTTCTTACTGGGCCTATACGGCCGTTGGCCGACCACTCAAACCACCCCCACAGTTAACCCTGCTGACAACCCACACAGATAGCTTCAGGCCAGGACCAGGTCCCTCAACCCAAGCGTCGTGATGTGATCCACCACTCCTATTGTGGCAGGCCATCTGATTAAATGAGTGGCTGCAGCTGGGACCACTTCTCAGCACCGCCTACCTAGAAAAGAGAAGCTCAGCAGAAAGCTTTAATGAGGAGGACTTACCTCGGTTGCACCTCGAATTTGGAACAAACTTATTTTATTTTTACATTGTGCTGACAGTCTGAGCACCTTTAAAAAGCAGCTAAAGACCCTTTTATTATAAAGTGCTTTTGCTTAAAGCTGCACTATGTAACACTGTTGTTAAAATTAAACCATTTTAAAATCTATATCCAGTTTTTTCATCTCTTGACTATATGAGTTTGGGTGCTCAGAAGTGCTCCTAAACGCTGACAATTCTAGCCTGGATCTCTGCATTTGCGAGGTATGGTCTCTTGGTTTTGCCCAGAGTCATTCAACAAAGGCGGCCAGCACTGATCGACGTCCTGCCTGGCACTAAGCTTCAAGACTTTGAAAACGTTTAAGAACCAAGTCAGGGAGGATGGAAACCTCCTCTGATTTTGGCTCTCTGTCTGAAGGAATAATTTACGTGATCACCCATCAAATTTAAATGAATTTTTTCTTTGTTGTTGTCTTTAAATCATCATGGCTTCATTTTGATGTGATTTTCTTTGTGATTCACCGTGATTTTGTTTCTTTTATTGAGCCTAAATAGATAAACTTTACTTACTTGCCTCAAGATGACGTCTGTTGTGAACTAGCGCTTTATAAATAAACTGAATTGTAGCTGTCTTGATGTTAAAAAATGTCTGTACTTTAGCCTTTTAGCAGTAATACTGTGATTTCAAATGAGAGTCATTCACTGTCTGGTCATCATTATTTTTCTTAACTTTTTTGACAGATAACAGCTTTTGAGGAACTCCAGGCTGACTTCAAGGTGCCGATTGATCAGGGAAATCCACTCCATGCGGTAGGTTTACTCTCCTAGATTATTTATGCCATCAGCATGTGCTCTCTCTCTCTCTCTCTCTCTCTCTCTCTCTCTCTCTCTCTCTCTCTCTCTCTCTCTCTCTCTCTCTCTCTCTCTCTCTCTCTCTCTCTCTCTCTCTCTCTCTCTCTCTCTCTCTCTCTCTCTCTCTCTCGACGGACCAGTATACATGGAGGTTTTCCTCATAATAATTACATAAACACCAATATTAATACAGGGGTTTAAAGTGTAGCGTCATGAATGTCCTGTTTTTGACCTAAAGGTCATGATCTGCCGCGTCTGCTCGAGCAGAGACACAAAGTCTCTGACAGGCTAACCTACATGAGATAGTGGCCAAGGTCTTTCATGCACTCTGCTCATCTGAACTGCTTCACCTCTGTTGCAGCTCAAGACGAAGATGAAGAACTCTCTTGATAAACACATAATCAACAACGTTTGTTAATACCAATAATAATGTGAGCCCAATGTTCAATCAATGTATGAAATGACAATGTTATTATTTGATATTATAATCCTGTGATCAGTAGTATTTTACAAGTTATCATAATCTTGGACAGCTGCACTAGACACTGATGACAGAGTAATGCTAAAGTCACATGACACATTTCCTTTTGTCTCACCCAATCAGAACCTTCGTTTCTGGGGCGAGGCGTGGTTATCTGTGGTGTTTGTATAAACCCTCTTTTGCATGTCAAATTCTGATTCGCCAGTAACCCAAAATATGACCATCATAAAAACTATCCCACGCCACCTTTTCTTTAGTTCAAAGCGTTCTAGAGAAGTCTCGGACCGGCCATCCGGATTCCTCTTCAGCCAAAAGAACCTCGACAAGCTGGATAAAATCTGTTGCCTCGACCCCAAAATGCGTCCTCACAAGCGTCCTGCCCTTGGATTCGGACACACCATTAGACCACTCCACCGGTCTTCTTCAGAAGTAGCTGCTAATGGCAGCGTCACTTCCCTCTCTGTTTATCCGCGTGCAGCAGAGGATAGTGTCGCCCTCTGCTGCACGCGCTTTCCTTGCCAATGATACAGTCCCAACGTGTAGACACCATCGTCTCTGTTCATGTTTGTGTGTCCACGTCTCCTTATTTCCATGGCTTCCTTAATCCATCTTGTTGTTCGGTGTTTATGATGCTTGTGCTGACCCAGTCCATTCTATGATTTTCTGCAGAAGTGGTCGAAACGGTCAGCACAAAAAGATAAATAAATAAAACGGTGAAACAATCTTTTCCTAATTAAAAAAAAGAACCAAAGAATGCAATCGGAACAAACACACTGAATAAATACACAAAGAACTAGTAAATATTTTGACATATGTGTGTCTGCTAATGGTAAATGACCTGTATTTGATATAGTGCCTTTTAGAGTCCTAGAACCTCCCAAGGTATTTTACAACACAAAGAGTCATTCACCCATTCACACACTGATGGTGACGAGCTACGATGTAGCCACAGCTGCCCTGGGGTACACTGACTGAGGCGAGGCTGCCCAGCAGGCCCCACTGGTCCCTCCGACCACCACCATCAGGCAAGTTGGGTTAAGTGTCTTGCCCAAGGACACAACAGCAGCACTCACTGCCGGGAGCTGACAACCCTCGAACCTGCAACCCTCCAGTTACTGGATAACGCACTATAACTCCTGAGCTACTGCTGTCCCAAATCTCATAATTAATGACAGAAGAATGAGTAATTAGGCACTCCTCCTCTCCCTATTGTGGTTTTATATGTGCAAACTACAAATCACATGTTTTTGTTTATTCCTGAAAACGCTCCAGAATCTAGTCAGGCATAACCGGGCACTGACCGGGGCAATTCCTGGCGGGCTGATCTGAAGTTGGTGTTTAATTTGGAGTTTTTTTGGGCTGGTGATCAGTCAGGGCACATATTTATCATTCATCACCCTGACCACCAGTCAGTGTGTGGAAGCAACAGGTGGGCTGTGGTCAACAAGCTTTAGTTCCCAAAGAAACACTTTCTATACCTAAATGATTGTAGTGACCTGTTATATATAATTTTATAAATAATTGTAAATTATGTCATGTGTGTGCAAACCCCTCAGCATGTACTGTGCTTATTATTACACCTTCACTTTGTTTATACTCATGATTTTATTTTCTACTTTATCACTGCTATTGTTTTTCTGATGTTTTTATTGGTCAGAGGTATTTGCCCTCATCTTTATCATGTTGTGATTTATATCTGAGAAAGGCGCTGTATAAATAAACTTTTACTTACTTACTTACTTATTCAGTTGCTTGTTGCAGCAAAACATCAATGGGCCAAGAAAAACGGCTGAAATCAAGCTGCTCATTGTAAGTGAAGTGGAAACAGTAAAGCAAAACATGAAATTTGTCAGAAAACTGCGTTTCTATGTAAGCCCTGAGAGTCACTTGCTATCACACACACACACACACACACGCACGCGCGTGCACGGACGCACGCGCGCACACACACACACACACACACACAGATAAGTAGAGTTAAGAAGCTACTGACTGCACACATTTCTATACAAGTACATCATAGGAACTTGTGGTTGTTAACAGGAACCGCTGTACAAATGACATGTGATGCACAAATGCAACCAACCAGCATAGCGTTGAGGTGTCTTGGTTGAATGCACAATTCGTGCATCCTAACAGTCCAGCTGGTTTGGTGGAGGACATAAACTAGTTTAATGGGCTCATCCAGCCTGTGTGCACCATGCGTCATCCTGTCTGTACCGGTCACTAAACCGTGTGTATTTAATCAGCTGAACTAGAGCCTAACAGCACCCCGCAGCACTCACTGCAGACAGAAAATCACAGAGAGCTCCACATACTGTAGATTAAAACAGAACAAATCAGAAAGTCATAGAATAATAAAGATCTAAAACTAAACAGAAATAATGTCAAATCAGAAAAACAAATTAAACTTTTAAAAATCATAAAACCAATTAAGGATGATTACAAATTCAAGATAAGAAGAAGAAAACAAAAGATTAAGGTAAAGGCAGCTTTAAATAAAAGGTCTTCAGCTGTTTTTTTAAAGGATAACAGATAATTCCAAAGTCGAGGTGCAACGGTCTGGAAGGAGAACGAAAGCGTATTGTATTCAGCCACAAAAAAGTTAAATGCTCTAGTTTTTTTAATTAATGAGATCATTTTATACCAACACGTTCTCACTCCCAGCGCGTCAAAAACAAACGCTTGGTCAGCCTCCCTCCGCATCAGACCCCTGACGCCAAAAGTGCCATTTTTCATCATTTATGTGTGAAAAGGGTTTTTCCTTTTTCTGACTGCAGATCCCAATGCAGCGTTACACTGACGTGATGGGATGTCCGCAGCCAGGGCACCAAACAAGCTCATTGTACCTCACCCTAACCTCATCCTCTCATTTAACCTTCCCCTCACCCCTATCCTGACCTTAACCATCTTGCTAGTGAACACGTTAGTGATGTGTCGGTCGCTCTAAAAGCCGGCTCTATGAAGTGAACGGCGGGAGCTGCCTCGTGATTGGTCGGGTTTGGACCGAGCCAACGCGAGGGGGAGGTTTCAACTACCAAGGTGGAGGTTAAAAGTAGAGGGTATTTGTAACCTCCCCCTCGCCAGATGGTATGTTCTAACGTTCCCCTTGGGCGGCAAATACGAAAATTCAGTCAGAATGCATGGGAAACAGACGCTTGATCACAGTGAGAGTAACGTTTTAGGTAGCAAGAGGGTTAAGGTTAGGATGAGGGAGAGGGGAAGGTTATAAATAGTGAAACATTAAGGTTCAGGTGCAGTTAAATGAGCTGGTTCGGTGCCGCATCAGCGGATATCCCATCACGTCAGTTTGGGATCTCCAGTCAGAAAAGGGAAAACCCCTTTTCACACATAAGTGACAAAAAGGGCACTTTTGGCGTCGGGGTCTGAAGTGGAGGGTGGCTGACCAAGCGTTTGTTTTTGACGTGCTGGGAGTGAGACCGTGTTGCTCATACAGAACAAAATAAAAAAAACTGTTCTGTTTTTCCGAATTAACGAGAAGATAACTATTACGGGAAAACAAATCCCTCTGAAGTGCTTCTTATGCTCTGAGGCATTATTGGTGGGTTGATTAATTCACTTCCACTTTGTTTTGGGATTGAGAAACTGAAATAGCTTCTGTCTCTGAACTGAGCAGACTGCAGCAATGTCCAGCATCACCCTCTCTGAGAACTCCGTTCGGTAGTTTTATCCAACAGCAGACGGGGATGGCACGCCCATATTGATAACAGGTTCATTCACGGCTCATTACTGATGGACTGCAGGCAGCTGCACCATCAGCAAGAGAAAACCTCTCCGATAGAGGAAGTCAGCCCGACATCTGCAGCACCCTCTGCTGATGATCGGCTCACAGATCCAAGCAGCCGGTCACCCTGCTACATTCAGAAGAGTTTTTCGAAACCCCGCATGCCCACTCTCAGACGGCCAGACAGATGGAGATGTTCCAGGGCTGAATTATCAGTCCTGCCCTTTTATTTTTCTCTGTAAAAAATATCTTGCTAATTAGAAAACAACAGAGCGGTTTTTTAGCTGTAAAAACAATCTCGCTGTTTCGGATAAACGAAGCTTTTTGTTTAATTTGTGGCTGAATGAAATACGCTTCCATAAAGGAGCGATCACCTCAACTGTTACATCTGGTCGTGGCAGATCAGGTAAATGCCCGCTAACTGGAGGTTGCAAGTTCAGATCCCACTCAGCTGAGCAAAGTGAGCAGCCCTGCAGTTTTTCACAGTCTCATTCAAAGATGATATAAGTTCATCTAAGTCATATATGTTTTTATTTCTAACCTAGGTGATTTCCAACACCTCTCAGCTTTGTGACATGTTCTGCAACTGGAAATATTTTCATTTAAAAAAATACTTTTCCTTCTGCAACAAACTGTTTAATCAAAGCCACTGTAGTTAAGATGCAGCAGCATCGCTGGTTAAACGATTAAAGAAGCTTGGATCTAAAACACACCCAAGAGTATAGTTAGAGT